GCTGGTGCACACACAAAACCTGCACACGAGCTGCAGCGGCTGCTGGCCCCACACCTGAGGCCCTGGGGTCTCTGCAGCATCCAGATCTGGAGAGAGAGACCCCTTAGGACGTGTGGGGTGTGGAGACAGGACTTGCCCCAGAGGCTCAAGTCAAGACTGCGCCCATCTGAGGTCTGGCCTGTAATTTTTAAATACAATGTTGGCAACCTCATCGTAGCTCCTGCATCCCTTCCTTGCCTGTTCTCACGCCCTGCTGCAGCCTGGACCCACCACAGCCCCTGTCTCAGGGCCTTCTGTGCACGTAGCCTCTTCTCCATCCACTCGGCCGCTAGCTCTGAACAGCTTCTGGCTAGGTGGGAGGGCCTGCTTGGCTGTTTCCTTCCCCTTTTCCCCTCTCTGGAAAGTGCTCTGTGGCCTGCTGGGCTCCTCTTCGATCCCATCCCTAATGCCCTGTAGAGATGACGCTCTCAGAAGTCCCCTTGAAGCTGTCACTTGGTGTGCTGACCATGCCGCTGAGCCCACCTACCTGCTCTCTGGGGCGCCCCACCACCCCATCCTGCTGGGTTAGAGGCACTGGTCTTCCCCAGCCAAGGCACAGAGTGGGGTAACAACACCCCCCACCTCACAGAGCTACACAGACACGAAACCAGCTCAGCTCTGGGAGGGCTCAGCTGTAGGGCCTTGACAACCTCCAGGGACACAACCTCCAAAAGGGACCAAGTCAATGTCCTATGCTGTATAAAAGTCTGACACGGAGAAAACTCCTAAGGCTCGTGCTCTTCCTGAAAGAGGGAGGCACAGCTGTGGCTCTCCACCCTTCCCGGTGACCGTTGTTTGGCTCTGATAAAACAAAAGGGGTTTTATTCCGTGTAAAAGGTAGGGTGTAAGCGATTGCAAGTGAAAACAGACAGATCACAGTAAGTTACTAGGGCAGCTCTCTCCAACCTTGCTAAATTCAATCCAAGATCTAGCTCAAACCCAATACCCTTGTCCCGCCTCCTTTGTGTCCCTTCTCTGAGGCCCCGCCCACGCTCACTCCGTCCACCCTACCTCCCCCATCCTCCCTCCCTGTCACCAGGCAGGGACAGAGGGTTGGGGTGCAGGCTCTGGTCTTGCTTGAAAGGATTTGGAGTGCGAAACGGGCTCTGAACAAAGTCCTGTTTCACTCAGCAGCAGCCTGCAGGTTTTTGACTCAGTTTCCAGAATCCGTCTCTCCCGCCAGCCCTGTGGCTCACGGCCCAATGTCACTAGTCACCCGATACACAGGAACCTCCCTGAGTGTTTGATCCCTTGGGCATCTGCAGGTGCAGTCATCCCAGAAGTGGCTGTGCTCCGGCTGATGAACGGCCCCAGTCGCTGCGCCGGGAGAGTCGAGGTGCTGCACAACCGGCAGTGGGGAACCGTGTGTGACAGCGGCTGGG